ATCAATCGCACTCTGGCGACGAAAAGTTTGGCGATGTACGGCACGAGCTCAATTTACTCGTGGATAGAAAAATCTGGTGAACATGCGCATCACTGGAACCAATGCGGCGAATTACGGCTGTCCTTTACTGATGGTGGTTCTCATAAGGAGTGGCGTTTTGGTCCTGCAGATTAGAAAACTTACGTTATAGACGCGATTTGCAAACTAGTAAACTCTTCAAAGAGAAGAGATAGGATTCGATCATTTCTGATAGAATTCGGTGCACGTTTGTGGTCATCAAATGCAGAAATAGTTTGCAACAGTTGTGTAATCAAAGGAAGATGGCCAGAACTTTTAGGTCGATTGGATGCCAATGATTCCTCAACAGTGTGTGGAGCACTTTTCCGAGCGGTCAGCTACTGCACTGTTTGTGGAAGAGGTACGCCCCTCATGGAATCGTATTTTTATTCAAATGAAAGTCTTGGTTGATTTTTGTTCGGACATCGCATTTTCAATCTGCAGGACACAGCATTTTATTCTTGAGGCTGATTGAGATCTCCGTTTTAGGCGGATGATGTGGCCGCAGTGCTTTCTGGTCTCCTGGATGTCATAACAATCGAGGTTAATGCAGTAGAAAGTGTAAGCAGAGCAGAAGAGACATTCACAGATGTGTTCCGTAATGATTGTGAAAATCAAGCCAGTTGTGAATCAAATCCTTGTGCTGCCGTGAGTTTAAGAATACCTTTACTTTCAGTTGAATTGGTTTTGTATGATGTGAAATCTACAGTAAGTCGCACCAAGCCGTGGGAGTGGTAGCATGATTTCATCATGAGAAGATATCTTGAAGAAATGTTGTGCTAAGCGCTAAGTGTCCAAACGAATACGGAAGTGGGATGCTCTTCTTCCATGATGGCGATAAATCATCTTCAAAATATTAGGAAAGCTCAAAACGTGTCAAATTTGCTCCCTTTAGCTGTACTTGTTTTACTGGTAATCCCTTCGTCTGTCGTCTGTCGTCTGTCTGTCGTTCTGTATGTCTGTCACGAAATTCCCTAGCTCCTCGGGATCCGCCTGGAGGGACCGGGTCAAGTGTGGGATGGGTGGGCAAGGTCTCACGAAATACAAAACACACATCAGCTAAGCGGAGCCCCGCCCACAGAGGGCGTGGCGTGCGTCGAAATGAACTGTACTGACGACCAAGATTTCGATTTCAGTGACAAAACACCTCGAAACTGGGCCAAAAAGCACTATGAAAATTTCATAACTCGGTTGGGAGAAAGCCTACAGAGCAGAAAACAAATTGGTGTAGGGGAGCAATGTCTAAGGTGTTCCCAGCATACATGACGTGGGCGGAGGCCGCCCACAATGGGCGGGGCGCGCTCTGAAGTGTACAGCATTTTCTACAAGTCCTCATAATTCGGGCCGGAGAAGTCTTAGTGAGCCGGAAAAAGGTGGATAGAGGTGGGTGGAGGAGTGGAGCCCAACTACTGTTTGGTGGGCGGAGCATTTCCAAGGTAGGCGGAGTTCTCCACAAAACTTTGTGACTCTGGAATGCTGGAGAAGTGAGCGAAGGAAAGGAAGTGAATTTCTAATGGTGTGCGGAGATACACCAAAAAAGCAGGATTCGCCGCCAAAATTATAAATCGGCTCAGAGATAGTTCAGAGATCGGGTAAAAAGTGGGAAGAGGTTGGCGAGGAAGAAAAAGATAGGTGGGACATGCAAAGAAATAGGCGGAGTTTACCACGAGGTTCATAAATCGGTCCGGAGGCAGTCCGAGGCCGGGAAAAACGGACAATTGGTTGACGATTACGGACAATTGGTGGAGGAAGGAGGGAAGGTCAAAAGCCATCGGTGGATGAAGCATGGGGCAATCGGATAGAATTCAGCTTGAAAGTCAAATATTCGAAGTGTATTGGGCCAAATTCGAAAATTTACGCCGCACCATCCCATATCGCCGCAGAACTGTGCTGTGCGCGCAACGCGTGCGGCGCCAACTGGTGCTAGGCAATAAGATAATTTCAATCGAGACACACAGCTGCCAATAAATGGCCTGGTAAAGATGGCAATCTGATTTGAAGTCACCCAGCAGTGCGACCCGACTCGAGTCTCGGCTTTCTTTCTCGATTGTCGATGAATTCGATTAATAGCCGATATTTTCTCCGTGTGAAGATAACTCTACACTCTGACCGTACTTTTTCCCTCGCTGATCTAATTGCCCTCAATTAACTTGCTCAGCTGGCCCCTTTTAAAAATTACCCAAAGATACAGTAGCGGTCAAAAGTGTTCGCCGAAACGATTTTCATTATTTTTCTCGCTTGAGCAACGCCCTCCAAAGATTGATATACTATGTTTTCTAGTGTTTTTATATCCTCAAGTCTTAAAGAATCAGGATATTCAAAAGAAAATTTTCGAGGCACCATTGATTTTTTCTGGCAAAAAAAGAGAAGCACGAAAAACCGTTTCGGCGAACACTTTTGACCGCTACTGTATCTTCAGCGCACTAAGGATCTGATTCACGTGTCACTCAATTGATCAAGCTTCACCTGCTTCTGGATCCACTCTTGATGAGCCACTTTACCTTCCTCACCGAAAGACAACTTTAACCCTTTCTGACCTGAATGTTTTCCGTGGAGAAAATTTCCTTCTAGCTATTGTTTATTACTTGTGAGCATATAGGTATCATTATGGCGAAATTTGGAAGCTATTCGATCACAAACAAAGAAACTAAAAGCTTTGAAAATTGGCCCACCTTCTTAGTTTTTAAGCTTATGTCGAAACAATTCGAAATTTCATAGTTATGCCGAAAAAGTTTATAATCTTGCACAACATTATAACCCATAATTTTGATTTAAGAATGGATCTACTTCAAGTATTTTAAGAAAAAGTGACACTTACTTGGCCGGTTGCGGGGACCAGCGCCGATTCATTGTTGCACTTGTACACAAATACTTGTAATACTAACAGCAACACACAATGAAATGGCAGGTTTAGCTCATAATTAGGAAGGGGAAGGTTGACTGAAGCAACCTCTAGCAGGATTAGAAAAACCATGCTGTTTCAGCGGCTATGTAAACATTTGGGTTTGATGGTGGCAATTGGGTGTGGCTCACTAGGACAGAAAGCGGTTTTTTCGCGTTTCGCAGCGCGAAACATTTTTCGCTGCGGGAACCTCAGGTCCACCGCTGATCATCAGTGGACCCGAGGTTCCCGCAGCGAAAATGTTTCGCGCTGCGAAACGCGAAAAAGTCGCTTTCTGTCCTAGTGAACCACACCCTGGCAATTGCCACCGCTAGGGCCGAAAGGGTTAAACAAATCTTGTTCATAAATGCTTATTACCTAACACCAGACGGACAGATACAGAGACAGTACGAAGTTCACGGATAGACAAGGATGGAGGTGAAGCAGGCTTCAATTTGACTGTAGTACATGTTAATGGTTTGCACAGATGTGCATTCAAATATCATACAATGCTGAGCAAGAGTCGAATGTCTGGCGCATTTTATAGCTATCTCATGATCAACGCTTAAGGCACCAAATCTTCGTTGAGACCAAATCGAAAACCAAACCTACTGTTTTCCGCAGCTTTCTCACATTTTCAGTCTTCAACATCTGAACGAGATGATACTGCGGAAAGTGTTATCGCGATGATTCTGGCAAAGCTAAACGACCCTCAAGCAAAACTGAACCGACGTGAACGGAGAGCACTTCAGAGGCAATTGGATATTGCTAAGGTTCGTCGTTCCACCCTTTTTTTAGCTGCATGTCCTTTTCTCTGTTTACCATACAACGTGTGTAAGATAACATGATTCTTTCTAGGGTGTCCAGAAACCTTACCCTATTCCACAGTCGACAAATGACGATATTGTCGTGGGATCAGAGTTTAGTGAACTAACTCCGATCGCTACCGGTGGAAGAAGTCGTGAAGGGGATGAAGCTATTAGGGTAACACATTCGAAATTGATTACGTTATAGTGACTGGTGTTCGAAATTGGTTACGTTATAGTGACTCTAACGAATGTTGCTATTTCAGCAGAAATGGCAGGAAAGAAGTAAGAGTTCGAGCAAGCGTCCCGTAGACGGGGGTGGAGAGTGCCAAGCACCATTACCAAAAATAGCAAAGGTTCAGGTGAGGCAGCTTTTTTCATTCATGTGGCAAAGACGCTTCTGAAAACAAGTATGGCGGCGCATACAGTCAAAGCCTCAACAATGGCAGATGTCAAGCAAAGGCAGTCTAGACCAATTGCAGTTCTAGCGACACTTATTCATGCACTGATGTTCTTTGCAATTGCAGAATTCATTTTGGAATCGCCGAGTACCTAATTATACGCATTTTGCACAGCGTGGAAATAGGAAATAGGCAGACTGAGAAAAAAGTCATAGTATGCATCCAACAGAGATCCCGTCATAGAAGGAATGTGCTGAACAGGTTGAACGATAGTTTATTTATTGGTTTGTTACAGAATCTCGTTCCACCAGCTATGAAGTCAGTTTTCAACGTCGGGACCGCATCGATGGTTCAGCGTGATAGGTGAGCAGCTTGCTTAACAAAAAAGCTATTTACTGCCGCCGATCTTCTCTTAGTACAACCTTCTTGGATGAATTCTCTTCTCCAAAGAGGATTCCACGATGAGGGCGAAGGTCGGTGACCTAATGGAAGGACAGGCTTCAAGGGTGCGGGCCGACACTCAATTCAAATTGAAGGACATGCTCTTGTAGATCTAGCATGGCCTTTCCCCCGGCGCAATGGCGCCTGGCCCTGTGCTCCCTCGCTCGTCTCGTGTCTGAGTCTAGTAGTCTAGCAGAGAGAGAGAGAGAGCTTAGCATTGAAGAGGGCAGCACCGATGAGAGTCGCATCAATGCGCAAATCAACGGGCAAGGAAGGGGTCCCATTTTCGGGTTCTAGGCCATTTTTCTCGGTTTTTCTTCTTTCGTGTATCACTGACCATCTCTAGCATTAATTTCCAATGGGCTGCCTTTTCATCGTAAAATCCGCCCTAAAGCAATTATATTCCCAGATTCGATAGCAAGATCCGCTCGATTTCTGCATTTCTTATATTTTTTTCGATATGTTTGTCGTTCAACTAAAGGAACTTCTTCAGTTATATCGGATATTTATTTCAGTGCAACGAAGCCATTTGAAAGTACTCGAATGAGCTATGTGTGTCCGTCACTGCCGGCAAACAATTTCTTGAAGCTGTGCAGGTTTTCGCCGTCTGGTTCATTTATAGCAACGACATCTGCTGACAACATGGCGAGGATCTTCGAATTGGACGAGGAACGAGTGAGAACATTGTGGCTTATCGTAATAAAATGCCAAAGAAATTGAAAGAAACCTAATGGTGATTACCTCTGCAGAAGATGTCTCTGGTGGCGAAAATCCCGCTCGGTGATCCCATTTATGATGCGAATTGGCTCTGTGGAGGAGCTGATAAACAACTCATAGCAACCACCGCCAAGCATCATCCAATACATCTCTGGTGCAGCGACGGTGCACGATATGCATCGTATCGAGGAATAAACCATTTGGTGAGTTGACGATGTTGTTATTCCTTCTGTGACTGAAAGAACCATGCTCTTCGAAGACCAATCAAATAGCAAGTATAATATGTTCACACATGTTCCAGATTTTTGACTGTAGAGATAAGTCAAGGTCGCGCCACGAAGCTGTGCATCTTTCGTAACGTCAACCTAGCTAAGCTGTAGCCAAAATGGTTCAAAAGCTATAATTTAAAGCGAATACGAATGGGGGCAATAATGCCGCTACCGCTTACTTAGCTCCGAGCCCGATTCCAGGCCAGCTAAGATCCCTTCCTCCCGTAATCGAATAAATTACACTAAACTCTCCCGCTAAAACACTCGAAGACCGACTAAGCATAACTGTAGACCGATAGGTGTTCGATGAGTTTTGATATCTTCGTTTAAAGGAGGAATTTACGATTAGAATGAAGGTCGAAGAAAGGGAAACTGACCTAGTTGAAGGGACCCACGGACGTGCGATTTGACGCGACCTTATTGCCTTCAAAAGCTGGCGGGTCCGGCGATCTCCGCCCACCGATCATCTGATCACTCGCCGTAGTTCAATACGTGGCGAGTGATTAGATAGCTGAGAGAGCGTAGTGTTGAAGAGGGCACAGCGATGAGAGTCGCATCAATGCTCAAATCAACGGGCAAGGAAGGGGTCCATTTCTCGGGTTCTGGGCCGTTTTTCGTGGTTTCGCTTTCTTTCTGGTACTACTCACCATCCCTAGGTCAATTTGGAATGGGTTGGGTTGCTTTTTCATCGTGAATTCGTCCTTTAAGGCGAGCCCAGGATTCACATTGTGTTGGTCCTTAGATCTAGAGTTGAATTAGCCTCACACGACATAAGGAGCATGCAGGAATATAAAGGGTTGACTTCTGCAAGAAGTGGCCACAGTCCATAATAAGCTGGCGCTAACACATTTAACGCGAACCAATGTTTAGTGAATTATGCATTATCGGCTGTCCGCTCTCTCCAAGACCTTCCGTTTCAATAGTTAGAGCGCGCAGGTAGCTGCTCGCTAAACTGTTTTGTTATAACGCTTGAAGTAACAGCGGAGGTATGAAGTGTAACGTCAACAATGAAAAAAGGAAGAAGATGTCGTTACGAACGAAAATGAATTATCCCTCCAGAAGCGGCGAGCAAAGCGCATTGAGTTTGGGGGGGGGGGGGTCGATCAGTTTGACGATCATGCGCCATCCTCAACTTTTTACGCTCTGGAACTTATTCCGAAGTTATTTTTTTTTTTTACGCTTCTGAATCATTCCGAGTTTTTTTTTGCGTATCATTTCTCAGGGAGAGGCTCAATTCCGATTAGAAATCCCGGACCTTACTTTTTTGGCCACGGCTTCATCAAGGTGTCTACATTAAAAACTTAGATTACACACCAGACACAGGTACAAATGTCCCGCTTTTAAACGGGTGTTGAATCGGTAGTTTATCTCTAAGGATTGTGAATGATGATGGCTGTATATTTTTTGTTTGTTTAGTATGCATATACAATTATTTAGGACGAGTTGAGTGCTGCGTATTCCATTGCATTCTCAAATGACGGTAGGCGGTTGTATGGTGGCCACAACGCGAACATCTGGATATGGGACACGGATCGACCAGGTCGACAGCACACCACAATCAAGACATGGGGTACGATTGGCTTTACCCCTTTCTTATGAAGAGTTTACCGTGAATTGCATTCCATGTCGCGAGTGTTTGTGGAATTGACTAGGAGACGAAATTGTGTTGGGCATTTGATGTATGGCGGCAGTATGAGATAGTCCATGTTAAAATGATATCGCACGAGAAGGCAGTGCTTGCTTTTGGAGTTGTTGTAGGGAGACAAAATTCGCTCCCAGGGAGCTGATATGATAATGGTTTGATAATGGTACCGCAGCACTCAAAAGTCTTCTGTAGAATACTTGACATGACCTTTTCTCCTGAAGAATCAAATCAAATCAATTTTTGATGTTTTAGAGACAGTACGTCTTCACTATGTAAACAAGGGTCTAATGTGGAATGGGGAAAGAGTTCAGAAAAAGAAATTATTTCACTAGAAATTGTCGACTATGACCGAATTCCAAGTAAATTTCAATTCATTGTGAAAAAACTTTCAAAAAAAAACAATCATTGTCAGAAAACATTAAGCAAATTCAATGCTCTATTGGTAATCTTCTGGCCATCATCCATTATCCCTGACTCTGCCGACGTTTCCCCTACCTTCTTTTCTATGGTGTTTCTATGACACTTAGGATAAGTGACTGAATTGGTCCTTCGTCAGTAGCCCTACAGTGGAGGTGATCCACAGTGGAGGTGCGATGCTTTTGGTGCTTCATTGCTAGAAGACAAACTATGGAAGAAGGTAGGGAAAGTATTTCTGGTTTTTGTGTATTGTTGTGTGTTAGAGAGGCTTTGTTTGTGATTCCGGAGGGGGTTGTGGTGGCAGAAGAGGAGAAATCTATTGTAGCGTAGGGCCAAGTTAGTCTGTTTGCCAATTTTGGCGAAGTTTTCACGAAGAAAACATGAAATGATTGACTTTAGAGCACCTGCCGTTCCTTTGGTCATATTCACCTCACCTCCCGCTCGCAACGATTCTGGAGAGAGGTAGGGGGGGGGGGGCAAAATGATAATATGTCGACCAATCTCAGGTTTAAGTACCATGGAAACAGACGGATTGGTGATGGTGGTTGGGGGACGTGTGCGCGGCCCCTACGGTTGATGGTGGGGGGGGGGGGGGAAGTCGTGTCGAGATATCTGGAATGGGGTCACGAAAAGTTTGAAATCAGAGCAACGCGATTTTTAATCTGCCGGAAACTCATCCCCAGTCGGGGCTTTTCTGAATGCACGCGACGGCGTCATTGGCTTCAACTATGTCCTACTTGGTAATATTTTTTAGTTATGTATGCGATATAGGTATTGATTCCACAACTCAAGCACCTTCCCGCTCTCTTCCTTCTTGTGTCATTTCTTCAGAAAATATGTATCGATTGCAGAAAGGCAAACTGGTGGCCAAAAATCCATCATCTCATGTATTGCAATGAATAAGTCATTCGATGGAGTGTACGCGGTGGCAACCTACAGTGGTAGTGGTAAGTTGGTTTTGTATTTTAGCGTATTCGTTGTGAATCAGTATGAGAGAGTGTAACAGATGGAAGGGCGCCAGACAGCAGCCTTCTGCGGACGGCAAACTGTGTCTGATTCATCTCAGAGACTCTGAGCATTCAAAGTCTGGTAAAGGTTGAGTTTCTTTCGTGAAGCCGTGAATGTTCAAAATTTGTGCGAAGCAAAGGCATGGGACGTGATCGAGTTTAAGGAGTCGCGTTGTCGGCTCGACGATTCGAATGTGCTCGGTCGAATGCACCTTTAGTACTGGAATCCCACAAAAGTCCAGAACTCCGAATTTTCAAGCAAGCTGCTCTTAAAGGGGTTCCAGATGGGTTTGGTGATACCTGCTTGCGTGCCATGATGGACATCTTCCTCAAGCTACAGGAGAAGCTACTTTCGCTAAAACTGGTGAAGGGAGCTTCGAGAATAAATGACTAGTGTTGTTCCTTATGGAACGCTGAATCGTTGTTTACAGTCAGGATTCGAATTGATTCAGCTATTCAGAAGACTGAGTTTTTTGAGTTCCCGCACTTTCGCCCTGCACCAATTTGATAGTCAATCACCCACACGGCTTGTCTAGGGTGTTCGAATTAGCTTAAAGGCAAACCCCGGGATTCAAACTGTGCTATGAGCGCTTCGTGGTGATAGCTTAGCTGCGGAACGACCTGAAAGTGGGAAGGAAAGCAAGAGAAATCTTTGGGAACGCTGAAATTAACCTTAACCTTCAATAAGGTCGGATGTGGTACGATGGCGAGACAGGGCGATCAAAGAAGACAAAATACGCGAGAGAGCACGTCGTTTGAGAGAGCACGCTGATCTCACCATCTCGCGGTGGGTGGGAAGCGTTGCAACGGGGGTCGATGGTTGCAGGCCCGTAAGGATTAGCGCCCTAACCGCGCAATTTTTGCGACGAAGCTGGAGTGATCTAGGTAGGTACGGACCTTACAATTTCCCTCGCGGTATCCTTCCTACTAGTCGGGCTAATCCCGGGGTTTGCCTTTAACCTACTTAACTAATAACAACCTTTTTCTAGTTGGCTTCTACTCCGATCGCAGCAACTCCTTGGAATGCATGTTTTCAACAGAGTCAACGGCTATCACCGATATGCACTATTCGTACGATGGCCAACGGCTGTATGTTGCTCCACGCAAGGTTGGTATCACTCACTGTTTGTCTCACGAGGTAGGTCACTGCTCTACATCCTCTCATCCCCCAAACTAGGGGAGCGATCAACATACGAACTGATCGTTGCGGACATCCCCAATTTCTTTCAGCGCAACCTTTTTGAATGAATCTTGCCTGAAAAACATATGGTGCGACGACTTGGTCACCCGCTGGAAATGAAAGCTAAGGTGGTATACGGTACCGTGGGAAAGGAAAGAAACCAAAAAAGGCCTTCAATTATCGGAACGAGGCTTTTGTGCCTGGTGATTTCTGCGCTGTCGAGGTGCTTCAGTAGCTGTTGTCATTAACGTTGAGGTATCGCTCTAGCATTCCACACTTTTCCCCCGCAGACGGCGACTTTCCACCACCAGCGATCATACGTCGGGTATGTCACCCGGAGGGAGGTGTACCCTCCACGAAGGAGCGGCCGCAATGGTAAGGCCTCGCCTAAACTTGCAACGGGCGCGCCCTTCGCCATCAAAGTATGCCGTCTTGGTCCTTCAGGAGCCTCCCTTCACAAAAGGTGGATGTTCCCTTCTTCAACGACCCATTCACTTCATAGAATGAAGAGGTGATCACAGGTGTTATTGAAGCTGCGTTCAGCTGTATTTGTAGAGTTTCTAACGAAAGGATGTTTTCGAGACATTGTTGCCCTGGTCCTGTTTCATGTATTACCTGCTTACCTGCTGATTACCTGCTGTGGGAATCGGTGCTTCCCGGGTGCAGTTTAAATGTGCAACTGAAGAGCGATCATTAGTTGTTTTCTCATAACACACATAGAAGTTCACTCGAAGTAATCTCCATAATGTTATATGTTGGACCTCTGTTATGTGTGAATTAAACCTGGTAGTCGCTCCAATAAGTAGAACAGTGCTCAGTAAGCCTTCTACTGGTATCTAGGATCACTTCTCAGACAGACTCGCAGGAGAAACCTTCCGAGTTACGGGCCGCAGCAGTGTTGGCAGCATATGCTGCCGACACGCCCACTAGTCTATGACTGGCTGGCTCGCGTCTGCACACAGTAACCCGTGCGATGACAGCCAATCACGGACGAGTTGGCGCTGTGAGGTGATAGCCAATCACGGACGTGGGCGTGTCGGCAGCATATGCTGCAGACACCGCTGCGGACCGTGACTCGGTGGTTTGTCCTGCAAGTCTACCTGAGTTTGTCCTTTATCAATACTTCATCTAGCTCACCTATGTAGCCTCCTGTTGTATTTATAAGTTTTGAATCGATACCAGACACCACGATATGATACCAATGTTGTCTATCTTATGAAGCTACAATTTACAGTTGTTCAGGACGGTGAGATACTGTGTTATGATATGAGAATGCCGGGCAACATTTTATTCAAGATGCTACGCCCTTTTACGACAAATCAAAGGACATGCTTTGACGTGGAGAGGTGGGCCTTTAATGTTTTCTCCACGTTAGTGTGATGTATGTATGTGCCATTGCTGATCCACCATAAATGATGTAATCGCGCTTCCACAATTGGGTATGTCGTTAGGGTGTGAATTGGGAACGCTAATATTTCATCGCTCCCAAACTTTGGGCACAAGGTGATTTCTGATGCGTCCGCTGCGTGGAGAGACGTTTTCTCCAATTTACGTATAGTGCTATCTAATGCTGGGACACACCTACCAGTTATGCCGAAAGGGTAACATCTTATGAGAGAAATTGGTGGGGCTGGGTTTCTCCAAGTCTTTCCTTGACTGCCTTTAAACGAGGAAAACTCACTTGTTGGCCAAACAGAGATTCTGAAAGAAGCTAGAAAAGTTTTTACTTTGAAAGCGTAAATGATTGTGAGTCTTGACGTCTTCCTTGACAAAATTGTATCAGTACTTTAGTTGCGTGTGAGCAGAAAAAAACTTTATTTATCCGAAAAAAGAACATCTTTCATCAAAGGCACATGTCACGATTGAATTGGTTTTTCTCGCTATCAACAAGTAAATTAGAGGTGCGAAGAGGACCATCATTAGAAAAAAATAGAAAATGAAATAGAAAACGTTGGAATTACGGGCTTCCTCTCGCTGTAAGCTCTATAATGGTAACAGGAGAAATACAACGTAGCGAGGAGAGGGAACACCGAGAGAACTCGGCGTAGAAGAAAATGCGGACACAGCATATGCTGAGTGCGAGTGAAACTGCCGGCGGGCGTTAAAAGGCCTTCGCACCCTTGCCGCGCACTTCGAGTCTTACAGTGCAGGACTTTCACGCTTGAAGTCCTGCTACATCAAGCGCTCTAAGGAAGTACAGGGTGGTCCAAAATTATGAGGACCGCGTGCGCGCGCAGTCATATCCACTTTTTTCCGTATCGCTCCATTTTCATCTCGTTTTCTGTGCACTATGTGAGAGGGTACATTGTCTTCTTCCTAATGAAACCAAGTTTCATGAAGTTCTCAAAACTAGTGAAATAACTACTTCACTTTGAGTCAGTCCTCAAATTGAACTCACTAGGGGCTCTGGCACGTTACATCTAGCAGCAGTCTAACCTATCAGGAAGCCCTTATGAGCAACAGTTCAACTCTTCAATAAGTTTGGAACCACCACAGATGGAAAATTCGGGGACTCGAAAGTTACAGTTACCACCAGGATAATTATCAGATGCAGAAACTAGGTCTCCCCTTGTCGACTTTCGTACACCCAAAATGAAAAAATTGATGCGAAAACCCAGCCAGACACTCTAAAGAATCCAAATCTGTAGGGATAGAAAGCCACACGAGTAGTCTACTTGGGACTTCTTACAGGACCGAGCACCCAAGAATAAAGCAAAAATTCTCTAAAAGCGATTTTTCGAGTTCGTTGCTTTCGAAGAATTGTTACAATGGAACCTTCCATCTGATAGCTCTAGATTTCTGTATTTCACACCCTGGATGCAAGCGCAAATAAATGCCCCACAAAGCTTTGATTCCCTGAAGAAGGCAGAGCAGAAGGCCTGGAAACATTTGGACACGCCTCAGTTGCGTGCCACCGCACGCGCCATCCCCCTCATCCGAAGGCTCGTGTTAACGGGGGAAGTGGCAGATCTCAATTCTATTCTGGAATTACTTTGAGGTAAGAGTTACAAATACTTCCCTGAAGTTGGTTTGTTCCATCAAGCTACTATGCGTTTTTAAAGACACAATGTCTTGGTCCTCATAATTTTGGACCACCCTGTAATTGCTTAGGCAACAAATTGCTACCATAAATTGTAAGGCAGTGAAAATGAACATTACTGGTGTCATCCTTACTACATATACACTGCGCCCCTCAGTTATATAGCCACCTACAAATTGTTCAGAATCTTGTATTGATAGAGTTTTTGAAAAACTACTTATAGAGAAAAATGAGGGACAATACGTGAAACGGTTTTATAGCGAAGAAAATGCCAAAATTTTTATGTTTGCTTTTCCAGAAAGGATCGCTTTCCTCATGTCTCCAAATGATATAGCCATCCCATGTTTCTTCGCCCTGCATTCGTTTTGCCTTGTGGAACTGATCTACCCCCAGACATACATGAATTTTGTCTTCACTACGCTTATCAGAGAAAAGTGAAAACAAACCATCAATGAATATAATGAGAAAGAGAGAAACAAATAGCGCAAAAAGGAGAGTGATTGCGCCATAGTAATTCTCATGTGCCGCATGATTTCAGTAGAAGCTACAGAATGATTAAACATTTTCACAGGCCGCAGGAATCGAAGCAAAAATGGGCTCTCTAAGCTAGTCTTTGCTTTTCGATCAAGATTAACGCGATCTTATGTAAATAAAACACAACTTCATTAAGCTGCGCATGCGCAAAGGTAGATTTCTTCATCTCTGAAACTCAATCCCTTGCTCACGATACGTCATGTATGTATGTAAATACTCAAGATCTGATTCCTAAGCGGAAAGTGGAATGGCACCGGTGTGTTTGAAAAGAAACCGTGGCGAAACTGAGTTATTTTTGCGAGCCAAGAGTAGCCAAGCAAACTGGGGAAAAATCCGCTTCTTGTCTGTTATGTCTTACTTTGCAACTGCTTTCCCCTAAACTTTGCCTTGCGAATGAAAATTTTGTTCAAAAGATTTTGGGCGGCAATGGTGGAGTGGCAGGGGGGACGCTTGTCAACGCGCGCGGTCCGGGCATCAAATCCTGGGTCGTGAGTCGCCCGGGCCAACTAAGCCTTCCATCCCTCCGGAGTCGGTTATTTCCTATCAGACTTGTCTGGGAAGGCACTGACTTGTACATCGGCTGGCCCCCGCAAGTCATTGTATAGGCCACATCGCATTCAAACGCCACTACGAATGTACAAATGGAAGTAGAATGCGTGCCGCATCCCAAAAAGGGATTGATCAACGGCAAATGCTTTATCCTTTATCCTAATGAAATGCTTGAAGATAGACCCACATGAAGCGAAAAGCGTCAAAAGAATCGCAGACGCAAAGCAAAGCATAATAAGCCGAAAACGGATTCTTCTTCTGTTGGCTGGCATGGCCTGTATCATTAGGGGACACAGTGTTTATAAAACGTTAAATCTGTTTGTGAGTGTACGTGTTTGTCACAAAATTCATGACAATTCGCAGCAGCGAATGGAATACGGTTCTAATAAGTGATGTCGAGGGTGAGATAGAAATTAGTTCGGTGGGGGATAGAAGTGATGAAGGCTGATAAGGGGCCCTGAAACACAGGTTTCGTAATAACTAATCGGCGTGTCTACGAGCACGCAGTCCGTTGGTTCAATGATGCCGGGGTGGGGCGGAGCGGCGACATGTTCGGTGGTGGACAGAAAGTGATAACAGCTGATAAGGGCTGATATGAACGATATGCGTAATAGCGTAGAGGTCATTCCAAAGCTCAAAGCTCACGGATCCAAGATAAGACAGAGCATCTCAACTCTTCTTTATTTGCGTTTAGTCATTGTAAGCTCAACCCTTCGGACCGCTACACTCACGGAATTTCCAAGAATATATGGAGGATGTATAAAGAAATACGGTAATGAGTACTGGGTATTGCTATATCAACATCATTAGCATCAAATTTATTTGACCTCTAAATTTCTATTTTTTGGGGGACGTTCGATGCCGATGATTGGTTGCCTTGACTTTCTATTAGCACACGCATAATCCACTGCGCTTATCGAACCAAACATATCGAGTTAGAGCTTCAGTGAACTTGGGCAGCCTATGCAATAGTGACTAAACGCTTTCGAAAAAAATGGCTGTTTTTAGCCGTTAGCTGCTCGCGTTGCGAAAGCTATCACAAGAATGCTAAGTTGTGCTTAAATTTCGCCCCAGCAGGGACTCCTACCGGATCTGTGATCTGTGAGTGCTGATACGCTATGGTATCTTTACCATCGGAATTTCTCAAGGTAGGCCCTGGTGCCTCACACGCTATAAAGAGCACTTAGGTTTTGTCACTATGAATGCATTGCTGCACTTGTTGTCATAAAAGTTCGTAGAGCATGGGGCTTACTCGAAAGCAGTTAATGTAATTACTTTGACGAAAGCAGAATTGATAGTATCTGAAATTTTTTTTTCGGATCCGTCTAGGTCTTTCCTTGATTGGGGTCTTTTTTCTAGGCAGTGAGGTGAAGGCGTCCAAAAATATCCTACCATGTCTGTCACGAATTCCTAGAGAAAAGAAGAATTGAAGGAAGAGCGCTGCATGACTTTCTTTTTTCTTTTACTCCTCCCCAAATTTAAGGACGTTGTTACGCATTTAGTGCTGGGCACTACTTATTCTCCGGCACATCTGATGGCGATTTGGTCATTTTCGATCTCAGCAGATCGAATGCCAAACGTTGAAAACTCCTACTTTCAAGAGGAAACGTGGCTGACTGCGCAGTCTCTTGTGTGAGGTAATACGGTAATACTATAACAAATTGTTATGATTTTCTTTAATTTCAGTCAAGATACTAGAGTAATTTTAATCTCCAAATATCGACTTATATCAATCACTCCTTCTAGAACTCTGCCCATATAATTACTCATGTTTTAACGCATTTATTATTATTATTACTTCATCGTTAACTATTACCGTTTCCCTTCCTTTCTTTATTGTTCGATCGCAGTATCACATCCCATCAACTTCTCACTCTTTACCATTGCTTATCTTTATCCTATCCATTTTGCTCTGAACCACTGACAACTGGAAATAGCCATCTTCATGCCTTGTGCTCTTCTGTTGTATTCTTTACAGTATCTTTCAGCACTCTTCTCATCTCATTAATAAAATAAATATTATCATCTTTAGAAAAAAAATTAGCCTTGCCACTCTGAAAAGTCGTGATGCATCGTAGCTCTTCTATCATTAAAGGCAGAACCCAGGCAGAGGTCGTGTGAACTCTTCTCTTCGGTCAGAAGTATAGAACCCTAGGGGACAATCACAAATGTGGCGTTCACGTGCACGGAATTCGACCGACAAGAACGCTTTGGGCTTGCAAAGTAAGCTGCTCGAGCTGCAGCGAACGAGCTCTCTTATCAGGCCGTTGTCTGGTGCTCTCTCATCTGATGCGCTCTCTCGCCCCATACTCTCCTCTTCGCGCTTAGTCTCTCGTTCCTTTAGCACAGCCAATTAGGAAGGTGAGTGAGCCCTCAACCTGAGCGTTTTCGACGGATTCTTTTCCTTTTTTCTTCACTGCCGGCCCACTTGGCACCGATACATTCACATTCGTGTGCAAGAGCCACACCAGTGCGATCCTGGGGCATGCCTTTAAAGGAATCTTCCACGGACCATGGACCAGTGGGCGGGACCGGAAGTTTTTGTGACGAAATGCATGGTAGGTACGGATCCACGTGTCGAACGCACGAACGTGAACAGGATTCACTTCAAACCTTCCCATGAACGTGGATCCGTACCTACCATGCATTTCGTCGCAAAACCACTTCCGGTCCCGCCCACTGGTCCATGGTCCGTGGAAGATTCCTTTAATGCGTTTCCTGGTTTTGTGAATATGTCAAATGGCGGACCGACGTGTTCTTGTTGTTTGGAATCAATTACGTCATATCGTAATGCAGTATTACCCACCCTTTCATCAACTACAGGATTCTCCTGTTTGTATCACTTCGTTTGCATAGCCTTCCTCAAAGTAGTGATGTTGATGTTTGCACATCAGTGGTTTTTTTTCAGCCTTCATGAGGACAAATCACCTCTGGTAGCACTGTGCACGGGTGAACGGGTGTTCCCGAAACCAAGGATTTCAAGGTCGAGTTCTTCGGGATCAGATTCTGACGACGACCGAATATATCGCAATAGACGTCATGATAAGGAACTGAATAATTCGCTGCAACTATGGGCATTTGAAGAGGCTGCAGTTCAATAAATGATGTGAAGCACACATTTCACTGTTCATTAACGCATTGCAGCCCGCGTGCATCGCCGGGTATGCACGTCGAAACTCCCACATCTGACATTTGTGCATCGCCCGGTATGCACATTGATTTTAAGCTCCCCTTATATCTTTTTTCATTACTTCTGTGACTATAGAAGTTCCACTAGTGCCTTGAATCCACTAAACACATGGCTGCTCTCCATCTTCAATTTCAAGATACTTTTGGAACTTAATTTGCACAACAGTGCCTCACAAGGGAAGGATACCAGGTCGAAGTGGCCATTTGTAACGAGACCTACACCACTAGATGTGTTTTTGGACGCTGATCTCGAATCTGCTCTCCAAATCTGCGGAACGATTCTCTGAACGTAGTTGTGTTGAGTTGTAACAGCTTCGTTTCCATTGGACGAAGTGTCATGAAACTCGAAGAGAGTAAAAATGGGATCGAGGCACTGACGGAAGGAAGCGGAAAACGATAATCATTGATGCAGCTTATAACGGGCGTCTAGAAGCAAGTGTCACCAACTTCGTTACACACTTCGGCGTTGACAGTAGAGTGTTTTCACTGACATGAGGTTATGGAAGATCGGTTTTCACATGATCATAGGCGACAAGTATTCCAATAAAGGATACCCAGGAACAAAAAGAGTGTACAAAGTTGATTAAGAGATGTTTTAACCGAACGATTCGATGTCTCACGGGCTGACAAATTTTGACGAAACCTACCATGTGGTGCGCGTGGTAGCGTACGGAGCTAAACTGGTTCATTTATAATTTCACCATCATCATTTAGCATTCAGCATTTATCATCATCATTTTTATGTATTGTCCGGCATATGTTGTAACCAGTTTAGCTCCGCACGCTACCGCGCACATAAAGCGGTAGGCTTCCGTGAAACTAAACAGCCTGTGGAACGTTAGGTCCCACCGCTAAAGAATGCAACGCTGATTTGCATCATGAAATGCCTTAGCCGCCTTTTTCATAGTTTCCTCATTTTTGCTGAAGCTCACCGCTTGATACGCGAAAGAGGGCCGGTGACCAAAACTTTCCTTCAAATTTATTTGCTTTGAACGATGTAGTTTCTTCATTTTCAATGCATGTTTACTTTACCTACATACATACATTAAATGTAGGCCCTTTATCAGGGCAATCCCAGTTGGGAAGAGAGAAAATTTAAAGGAATTTTCGTCCCCTAACCCCTTCGGGGAGGATAGCATACGGCCCCTGCAGAGGTAAGGCCGCGTTCATAGTTCGCGACTCGGGAGATTAGGATAGTAGGCGACAGGATATTAGGATAGTAGTAGAGTAGGAGATTGCGCTGACAAGATTGGATACGTATCGATTGAAATCGCTGGAGAGTAGTAGATTGGGCGACTTCAAGCGAATAGATCAATACATATCTAATCTTGTCAGCGCACTATCCTAATCTACTATCTATACATGTGTTGCAAAATCATAGGACACCCCTCGGTAAGTCTCCTTACAGCTGCATTTTTTTGATCCATCCAGCAACGATGGTAGCACTTGTTCCGGTGTATGGTAACT